AGCTGGGCTGTGACTTGCCCTCCCTGTGCCTTGTTGTGTCTCCTGCATCAAACAGAAATGGCAGCAGGACCCACATTAGAGGGTGTGGGAATGTTTAGAGGTTGCCACAGGGCACTCAGCGGGGCCTGGAGCACAGAAAGCTTTCCTTACACTCATGTTTTGTTCTCTACTTTCTCTATCATGTTTCTTGATTGTGGGGGCCTGTGCTGCTCTGGGATTTCCAAGAAAAAGATGTTGAGATGGGATTTTATCAGGGGAGATACAAGTGAGAAAACACATCAGACCACAATACCAGTGAAGAAGAGGGAAGGAAGGTTGAGTGGAAGCCCTTAGACCCCCATGCCATAGGAGAGACCTCAAGTCAAAGCAGGCCATCACAGGAGTATCACATGAGGCCAGCCTGGGTAACATAGGGAGACCCTGCCTTTTAAATAACAGCATCAATAGCAACAGAGGACTCCCACGGTTTCCCTGGAATGGGCCTGCGTTAGCAATACCCCTGCTGCACTGAGTTGGCTGGCACTGCCTGCAGAAGGAGTAAACTCAGTGCAAATGCCAGGATGGTTTCCTGTGTCCTTTACTCTTACTGTAGTTGAGGGTCTGTGAGGCATATCCCATGGCTTCATAGACCCCTCCAGACTTTGAGATCCCACAGTGCCCTGCCTCATCACCTGCAGGGGATATAATCCCTAAGCCCAGCCTAAGTGTGACCCATACAAGCATCTCTCAACGGTTGTGGGATGAAGGAGCAGACTGGAGTCTGCAGTCCTGATGTGGATGGTTTTGAAGCTGGTTTCCTTGCATGGGAGAGTGCTCCAGTGTGTTCTCAATCCCCTTTCTTTCTGGAAATTAATGAAATGACATCTTTTGAGCTCAGCTGACTGGTCTGCACTTCCTCTTTGAGGGGAAACTCTTTTCATGTGTAAACTGCCCCAAGTGCCTTCTCCACTTGGCCCCCACCGCCATCTGAGCCATATTCTCCTACAATCGCTCCCTTGCCAATCACCGCCAAAGCTACAACTGAAAATCAAAGAACATTTTTAATGAAAAAGGCCCTTTATATCTCTTTTTTTGGCAAATCTACTGCAATAATTTTGAGACTGTTAGTGACATTTAAGCCCTTCTAGATATTCCTATCCTAGGGAGAGGCTGTTCTTGCAACACAGTTTCAAGTAGTAAAATCTCTTTACATTTCACCTGTAACCTTTTCATTCATATAATGTCAACAATATAGAAAACAAATGTTTGAAGTTTCTGAGACAGGTTTTGGTGCTTGGCTAACCAATGTTCTCACCATTATTCACATTCATTATTCAGGAAGTGTCTTTAGAGAACCTTTCTAATAAGGTTAATTTGCATATCCATGTCTCTTTTGTACTTCATGCTATCTGAGCATGGTACATGCTAACATTTTTTTAAATATCCTTTCACATTATAAAAATATTAAGAGGAATTTCTTAATTTAAGTATCCTGACAAACTGCTCTTCCAGGAAAGCGTGGAATGAGTAGCTGGCATTTGAAAAACAAGTTAGTCGAGAACAAAGCAAGCTTTGCTTCTGCAGGGAGAAGTGGTAGATACCCCTTGGCAATCTTGTTTGGAAGCTGCATCTATGAATCTTTAAGCACCTACTGGGACCAGAATTTTGTCTGTCCCATCTCATCTAATCCTCTTAGCATCTCTGCAACCTAGAGGGTACCACTTCCATTTCATAGACAGGAAAGTGAGGCTCAGCGAGGCAGTTAACTTGCCCACTGTCTTAGGGTTAATAGCTGGCAGATCAGGGTCTGGCTCTCAGCATTTTCAGAATGCAAACCAAGGCTGTGTCCCCATTGCTGCTCTACAATTCACAGCAGAGCTGCTTGTGTGACCTGGGGCTTCCCACCTAGACTGCCATTGAATAAGAACAGGGGAGGTACACCCAGGTACCTGTTTTTAAAATGCCCTCTTCCTTCCAAATGATCTCCGTGTGCAGCTGGGGTTGGTGGAGAATGACTTCCCTGGGAGATGCAAACACACATCCATGGGCCACACTTGGTTAAAGTGAGGAGGTTTAGTTTGAGCCAGTTCTATCTTCCCCACAGTGGACTTGGGTGCAGTTTTGCTGTCTAAGTAGGGGGAGAAACCAAGATGTTTCTGCTTAAAGGGAATCAGTTGAGTTTTAGCCCAAGAAATGTAGGCAAGATATGCTTGCTGTGAGGGAAGTGACTATTCAGGGAAGCTCAACATCCCCAGATCCTCTCTCTCTCTGATAACAGCACACTGATTGTGTTTGGGGCAGCCAGCCTTCTCCCCTCCCTCACTATGAGTGCACCAGCTGCTGCAGACTTAGACACACATCCCAGCCCTGGCCAGTCAGGACACAGTATCTTCCAGCTCTGTGATTGGTTCAGGATGCTTACAAAACCCATGCCAAGCAGTCAGGTCCAATTTGCCAATCTGGAGATCTTTGCTTGGATTTCAAAAGAGATACACTCCACTCCTTCTTCTCTCCCCCACTCCCCCTGACAGGCCTTGGGTCCGTGAAAACCTTGAGCTATAGTGAGCATCTTGGTTTCACAAGGAAAGAGCCAGCTGAGAATGGAGCCAGCACAGAAAAGTCAAGCTGAGAGATCGAGGGAGACCACATTCTGCATTGCTTAAGCCCCTGGATCCCGCTGAGGCTTGCTCATAAACTTCACAGTTATGGAAGACAGAAAATCTTCCTTTTTGCTTAAGATGGTTAGGGTTGCATTTTCTGTCACTTACATCTGAAAAGAGTTCTAACTGATGTAGGATATCAGGCACCACATTCACGTCAATCTAAATAATGGAAATATGCTTCTCTGGTAGTAATTACATTTAGCCAGTCGTTCCATAAATATTTATGGAGCTTTTGCTGTGTGCCACTCATTCTGCTATATTGCTATGGGAGATTCTGAGGCAGCCTCAAGGGACAGTTGGCCTGGTGGGAAGAGGACTGGAAGAAGAAGACACAGGTAAAACCAGGTGGAAAGGAAAGGTGCCCAAAAGATGCAACTCATAGGCTAAAGGGTTCCAGGGGAGCGTACACTCTGAGAGAAGGCTTGGGAAAGGCTTCTTTTCTGATGTGGGACTGCATCTTCTGTCCTCTAAATCCCAGGGGCTCAGCTCAGCACCTGGCACAGGATGAGTGCTCAGTGAATCCTTAAAGGGTGAATGGTTTTCTGGAAGATGTGGCACTGAGAAACAGGACAGCTGAACCCCTGAGCCATGCCTCCAGGCAAAAGGTGAGCAAACACAGATCCCTGCCCAGAATTCATGCTACCACACAGCCTGTTGGAAGAAGGAAGGCTTCACCGTTTGAGTAGAGCAGCAAAATCAGCTCCAACTAGATGTTCAGCAGTGATCTGATTTCTATCCATTTGGTTAAATGGGAACCTCCTAGGACCTGTCTTTGTCTTTAGATTTCTTGATAAATAGTCCTTTTTGAAGAAACAGAAATATGATTGTTAATTATTTTCTGATTATAATTTTTCTATGCTTACAAAATTTTCATGGAATGCATTCAAGTATAAAGAAGAAACAAACTGTATAATTATATTACCAAGAAATAACCACTTCTAACGAGCATGCCCACACACACATACACATACACACACACACACACATGCACGCATACACAAAAAGGAAAACATTCTGATGTTAAAGTTAATCCACTTTAACATGTCATGTCTTTCCATATCAACAAACAGAGATGTACATTATTGTTTTAATGACTGCTGAATATTCTATTGTAGAGATGAACTAAAATTAATGGAACCTATTTTCTGTTGTTGGGCATTTAGGGTTATTCCAGTTTCATGCTATTATAAAACCACTGCTGTGAACGAACATCCTTATAGCTAAAATAGTCCACATTCTAAATCATTTCCTTCAGATAAATTCCTAGAAGTGTAATTGCTGGGTCAAATGAAATGCATGTTTCTAAAGCTCTGTGACACATGTGGCCAGATTGACTCTTGCTATTTTATCTCCCCAATACTGGGTGTTATCATTTTTCTTTCTTTTTTTTTTGGCCATCTGAAGGATGGGGACATACAGACTTATGTTAAGAGTGTCAGATGAGGAGTCATGCTGGTTTCTCCTGTTCCCTTCCCAGAGAGACTCCCTGACAAAGAAACCTTTCTCCTGGACATGGATCTGAGCAGAATAACAGGCACCCCCTCTATGAACCTTGCCTCTAAGTTTGAAGGGGCTAGGAACATCACTTTGCCAGTCTCCTGTTTCAGGAGAATTACCTCCTTTTCCCTTTAGTCCCAGTCCAGTGTTCCTCTGAGTGCTTAGGACGCCAGGTTCTTGACATAGTGGAGAAACAGAGAGAAAATCAAACTGCAGGTCCTGTCAGCTGATTTAGGAAAGAAATGGGAGCTCCTATGTCTCTCCATGATAGTAGGATCATTTTATCATGCCACAGTCCTAGGAAATCAGGGATGATACTGGCAGGGGTTTTGTTAGAGAAAAGTCTAGTTTTCCAGCAAACATATGAGAAAATGCTCATCATCCCTGGTCATTAGAGAAATGCGAATCAAAACCACATTGAGATACCATCTCACGCCAGTTAGAATGGCGATCATTAAAAAATCTGGAGACAACAGATGCTGGAGAGGATGTGGAGAAATAGGAACACTTTTACACTGTTGGTGGGAGTGTAAATTAGTTCAACAATTATGGAAGACAGTGGGCGATTCCTCAAGGATCTAGACATAGAAATTCCATTTGACCCAGCAATCCCATTACTGGGTATATACCCAAAGGATTATAAATCGTTCTATTATAAAGACACATGCACATGTATGTTCATCACTGCACTGTTTATGATAGCAAAGACCTGGAACCAACCCAAATGCCCATCCATGATAGACTGGACAAGGGAAATGTGGCACATATATACCATGGAATACTATGCAGCCATAAAAAATGACAAGTTCGTGTCCTTTGTAGAGACATGGATGAATCTAGAAACCATCATTCCCAGCAGACTGACACAAAAACAGAAAACCAAATCAAACACTGCATGTTTTGACTCATAGGTGGGTGATGAACAAGGGAACAACACTCACTGGGGTAGGTGGGAGGGTGGAGGGGAGGGGAGGGACATTGTGGAGTGGGGAGGATGGGGAGGAATAACACCAGGAGAAATGCCTAATGTAGGCAACGGGGTGGGGCAGGGGGATGGAGATAGCATACTACCATGGCATGTGTGTACTTATGCAACAATCCTGCAGGATGCAGGGTGTGCACATATACCCCAGAGCCCAAAGTACAATAAAAAAAGAAAAGAAAGAAAAAAGCCTAGTTTTATTCTTGCCACAATTATTATTCTTCCTTCTTTCTCCCCATTAAAGTTTAATGCTGCACTCTGAGCAAGAATGCTTTTCCTTAATTGATGGGCACTTCGTCAGCTGAATCACAGTAGGGGATGAGGAATGATAACCAACAGAAGACCCAGTGGGAAGAACAAGCTCCCTCAACCGGGAGTGGTGCTCCTGAAAGTCTCTGCAGAAGAATCCAGAACCAGTATCCCTCATTCATTCAACATCTAATTACTGAGGTCTTTCTCTGAGACCATCCCTGGGTTAGCTCAGAGATAGACTGTGAAGACCATTGCTTGTGGTCTTCTAAGGGGAAGTTCCTAAAATTTCAGGAGCTCAGCCATACTGAAGTTCTATGGTGGATGAAATTAGAAGGCCTTGGGATCATGGGGACCTGTGCTCCATTCTTGTTTGAATGCTGCTAACCCCTCATTGCTCCTCTCAACCTCAGTTTCTTTCTCTGTGAAACAGCATGGCAATAGTAACTTTACATAGAATTATGAGGATTCAGCGGGTGACCATGTAAAGTGCTTCACATAGACCTTGATGCACAGTAAGCACTCAATGTGATGATGATAATCTGTAAAATGAAGAGAATAATGCTAATCATATACAGCTGTTATAAAGATTAAATGAAATAAGGCTTGTTACATGGCTGGTACCTAGAAAGTGCTCATAAAATAGTAGTTTAAGGGCTATTTCTTTATGTTAGAAGTATCGGAGAGGTGTGGTGGCTCATGCCTGTCATCCCAGCACTTTGGGAGGTCAAGGCAGGAGGACAGCTTGAGCCCAGGAGTTCAAGACCAGTTTGGGCAACATAGTGAGATCCCATCTCTACCCAAAATATTACTTGCATATGATGGTGCATACCTGTATTCCCAGGCTAAGGTGGGGGGATCACTTGAGCCTAGGAGGTCGAGGTTGCAGTGATCTATGATTGCACCACTGCACTGCAGCCTGGGCAAGAGGCAGAAAGACTCTGAGGTCTAAGGAGATGAATTTCTGAACAAATAGTATTTTTGACCTTTAAAGACAGGCTCTTCTTTTTTTTTTTTTTTTTTTTTTTTTGAGACAGAGCTTTGCTGTGTTGCCCAGACTGGAGTGCAGTGGCACAATCTTGGCTCACTGCAACATCACCTCCCAGGTTCAAGCGATTGTCCTGCCTCAGCCTCCCATGTAGCTGGGATTATAAGCACCCACCATTATGCCTGGCTAACTTTTTTGTATTTTTAATAGAGACGGGGTTTCGCCATGTTGGCCAGGCTGGTCTTGATCAGGCTGATCTCAAACTCCTGACCTCATATGATCTGCCCACCTTGGCCTCCCAAAGTCCTGGGATTATAGGCATGAGTCACAGTGCCCAGCCAACAGGCTCTTCTTCTTGAAGCATCTCTACCAAATGTGCAAAGGAAAGAAATAATTATTTCTGCTATTTGAGAATATGAAGTGTCTATCATTGCTTAGTAAATTATAGGAGAATAGCAGAATTGAAACAACGAGCGAGAGAGAGAAAAGCTCTTGGAAAAGGAGAGAGAGAGGGCCGGTGACCCAAGGGCCCCAGGAGACTACAACAGTCATAGATACTCTTGGTCAGAGGATAGGTGATGAATTTTCATTAACTATTTGTGTCAAGCTTTAAGTTTCAAGTATTCCCCCCAGCCCCGAGCTGTAATTACCCTCTGTTCACTCCAGAATTCATAAATGTCTTTTATATACAGAATCTTGGATTGGTGGTGCTTGGGCAAGGAAACAGGAGAGGCTTTGCTCATGCTTAAGGAAAAAGGGCTGGAGATGAACTCTGAGCACAAAGTCAGAGCAAGAGGGAACAGGAGCTGCATCTTTACCTCTTGGGAACAACCATGGGACAATGAGGTGAGTCATTTTAGTTGGGTATTAAAACAGAGGGTGACTGTCCCAGAAGGCTGAGGAGTGTAAATACACAAATTGAAATAAACTCTCAGGATGATTTGCTTATTAATTAGGTTTCCAGGAAGGTCTCTTGGGATCCAAACTACTTGAAAACAAAACAAAACAAAATACAGCATATGCATGACTAACTGGAGAGTTAAGAATGCCATTTTTTTTTCAGAAGGCAAGACTATTGGTGATTCTGCCACAGTAGAGAGACAAGCTTTGACAACTCAAAATAGTAAGTACATCAGCCTCAAGCAAGGTTTCTAAAATGCTTTTCCGGTCCCAGAGGGACCAATTTGGCACTCAGGGCACACATTTGCCATGTGCCACCTCAAGATTTGGCATCATAATCAATGAAGAGGAGCTTAATGCTGAGTTAAAGTACTCCCTTTGGTATAAATTATCTGCCATGTAAAGCAGAAAGTCCTCCTCACTTTGTTAGTTGGATGTGTAAATACCCACCGGCCCTGTTCAGATTTGATCCACCCTAGAGTGAATGGATTAAGATTTAAGATGCAAGTGTCTTTGGTTTTTTTCCCTCCCTAGTGATCTGGCTGGATGATTTCTCCCTTCTCTTTGGCATTGCAAGGAATTTCTGAATACATTAGATGGCAAAATGGAAAGAAAGAACAGGGAAGAACATGGAAGGAAGAGAAGCCTGATTAATCCATAACCTTTAAGTAAGGAAAAGGACAATGAGAGAAACAGGTGCAACATTTAGTTAGAGGGTAGGGAAAGAAATAGAGAGAAAGGGTGAGAAATGAATGAAGATGTGACAATAATACAGAAATAGCCCCTGTTTAATGAGCACCTACTACGTGCTAATGCTGGGCTAACAAGTGTACCAAGTACAACAAGTAAAAGCAGGCTTGGTCCTTGTTCTCATGGAGCTTATCCTCTGCAGTCTACCCTACTGGACTAGGTTTCTAAGGCAAAGGTCGCATCTACTGATAGGCTGAGACCTCTCCAAACTCACTTCGCACCACTCTGTTCTCTATCTTTTCTCATCAGTCATTCTGGAATCTTCTCAGTTCTTCCAGCCTGCCAGGGTCTTCTCTGCCCACATACTCCCACATACTCTTTATTGCCTAAGAGCTCTTTGCCCCTTTGCTGTGGTTTTTTTTTTTTTTTTTTGATGTAGGGTCTTGCTCTCTCACCTAGGCTGGAGTGCAGTGGTACAATCATGGTTCATTGCAGCCTTGACCTCCCAGGGCTCAGGTGATCCTCCCACCTTAGCCTCTCGAGTAGCTGGGATCACAGGTGTGTACCACCATGCCCAGCTAGTTTTGTATTTTTTGTAGAGATGGTGTTTTGCCATGTTGCTCAGGCTGGTCTTGGGCTCCTCGGCTCAAGTTATCCTCCCACCTCAGCCTCCCAAAGTGCTGAGATTATAGGTGTGAGCCACTGTGCCCGGTAGTTTGGTTTGAATATTCGTCCCCTCCAAAACTCATGTTAAAATTTAATCCCCAAGGTGGCAGCATTTTAAGGTGGGACATTTAAAAGGTGATTGGTTTATAAGGGCTGTACCCTCATAAATGGATTAATCCACTCATAATGAATGCATTAATGGGTTAGTGGATTAATGAGTTATCCTGAGATTAGGACTAGTGGCTTTATAAGAGAAGGAAAAGATACCTAGCTAGCACACTCAGTTCCTCGCCATGTGATGCCCCGCACTGCCTCGAGACGCTGCAGAGAGTCTCCACCAGCAAGAAGACCCTCACCAGATACAGCCCCTGCATCTAGGACTTCTCAGGCTTTATGACTGTGAGAAATAAGTTCCTTTTCTTTATAAATTACCCAGTTTCAGGAGTTCTGTTATAAGCAACATAAACCAGATGAAAACACCTGTCTTACCTGGCAATCTCCTTTTCAATTCAGCAAAGACTTGGTCTTCTTTCGGGTAACTCCCTCACCCCAGGCTAGCTTAGAGCCTCCGGTTACATGTCCTCACAGTTCCCTGTATGGCTTAATTAATACCTTGTAACCACTGGCTGCAGCCTGTCTTTCCCACTACTCTGTGATTTGTGAAGTTGTAGACTGGTTTATTCACCAGTATCTAGCACAGGGCCTGGCGCGTGAGAGGTGCTTGTTAAACACTGGGGAGGTGAAAGCTCTGTTCCTTACAGCCTAGAAGTTATGGGTCTTAATTTAATTGAATTTTTAACCTTGGATTGTCAGTCCTTTTTTTTCCTTGTTTCTATGACACCTTGATATTTATTAGTATATTTCGTTTTTACACACATCAAGGCAAAACAAAGGAGAAACGTGGCTGAAGAAATAAGTGATATTTTTTTTTTTTCTGACTTAATAAGCAGGTCCTGGGAGAATGAAACATTTTCTTCAAGGGAAACACTGGAGCACTGGTAAAGATGTTCCTGTAAATCTCACTTGGACACAGCACGCCCGTTTAAACTCTACAGTGTTAATCTATGATTACGGCTTTTCTCATTTCTCACATTTGAAAATGAAATATACATTTTCATTGTGACTTTAGATTACTATGCTCTATGAAGGCTTTAAACGCAAGGACACTGAAAAGGAGAAGATCTGCACTAGAAAATGTAGGCAAGGAAACCTGCTTTTATGATGCTAAACTTTCTGTGGTGTGATGTCAGGGTGGGCAGATGCGTTTCTGTGTAAAGTTGCACCACCTTGAGTGCCACACAGCACCCATATTTATTAGTCTGAGGAAAATTTGCCAGTGCTATAGCATCTACTACAGAGAGCCAACTAAATAAAGTATGATCTTTACAGTGGCCTTTCAGAAACTGTAAGTGCCCGCAAGTGGCCTATAAAGGGTGAATGATTAACACAGCCCCTGAGTGAAAATCGTAGACGCTGTGTAGCTGATTTCACTAAAATTTTAGTCACTATTTCATCAGTGACTAAAATAGCTGATGACCCAGTGAGAATCTTGTGTGGCACAGGAAGAGGTACAAGAACATTTAGAGACTCCTGGACCAGGATTCCAGACCTAACTCTACGGCTTATGAAGGAAGGAGCCTTGGGAGAATCCGTCATCCCCAGGAGCTTCCCTTCCCTTCGTGTAAAATGGGTTTGCTAGTCCATAGGCACCGGATGGCTTTGTAGAACCCCCAGCCCAGGCTCCGGGGTGGCAGCCGGTTTCTCCCTCTGTTCTCTCTGCCCAGTTGTTGAGGGCCCAGTTTCCAGGCCTGGGCCGCACAGCTGTCAGCCAGACAGTCCAAGTGGGACCCTCTAGTTGAGGCTAATTATAAAGAAGGCTGGCAGGGTGAGAAAACTGTTTTCTTCCACTTTGGAGGTTTGGTTTATTAGAAACAGAGCCCTGAGGGGGATTTCTAGGGCTATTAGAAAGTTCAAATAGTGTCTTGGGTACAATGCAGTGATTTCTGCGGGTCAATTTTCCCTCCAACTAAAAGCACTTAAGAGAGCAGGGGGGCAGGGGTGAAGGAGGCTACAATGAGAAAAGCGTTGAAAAGAAAGGGGAAAAAGAGCGGTGCACCAGGCTGACCAGCTCCACATTGCTGCGTTCTCAAAAAAAAAAAAAAAAAAAAGAGAGAGAGAGCGCCAGATCCCTAGCCACTTTGCCCGTGACCTCCGGGCAGGCAGCTCAGAGCGGGGGCGCATCTTTGCAGCCCAGAGTCTGTGTGTCCGCGCGGCTCCCAGTCCCCGGGACACGGGGCTGGGGTCCTGGGATCGCGGAACGGGCGGCGCCCCCTAGGGGCTACGCTCTGAGGGTGGGTGGCCCCACGGAGCTCCCGCCGCCTCCGTGGCCCCTCGCGTCATAGGCCCACCGCTAATGGACCTGCTGTTTTTTTCATTTCCTGGTTGATGGCGTTTCTTCCCGCGCCATCTGGGAGCCCAGCAGGAGAGTCCCGCCCCTCCCCGAGGGCACCACCCGACTGTCTCTCTGTCACCCTGGCCAGCCAGCAGAGCCCGGCGCGTTCAGATGCGTGGGGGAGCGGCCACGGGCCAGCCCGCCGGAGCTCGCCCGAGGTCGGAGGAGCCCTGACGTACCAGGGCCCTGGGCTGCAGCATGGAGCCTTCCTGTGGGTGTCCCCCCGACTACCCCCACGTTGGGGGCTTCTGCCAGCCTCAAACTATTCTTGCCTTCTGGGACAGAATGCATTCTTTCCAAACACCGGCAGCGCGCCAGGCTCAGGGCTGCTGAGCTCTCTGTGCTGGCCTTGGGCGTGTTGACTTGAAGGCGTCTCGTGGAGTCCTCCCCAAACCTCTTAGAGGTGAGGCCATCACCCCCTGGGGCCAGAGTGAAGAGGCTGAGGCTCAGGGGGTCAAGAGTAGCCCCAGCGCACACCTAGTGTGATGGTGGTGCTTGTGGCTTCCCTAGCCATCATCCCTTGGGTTTTTCCCTGGGGGCTTTGCTTCCCTTACTCCAAGCCACGCAGTTTGGATGGGAGGACCTCATTCTGATGGTGGCTGCATGGTGATTGCATGGGATGAGCGGAGCTCCTCTAACCTGCTTTACTCATCTGAGGACTGCTGGAGGTTTTGCATGGTTCTCTCCCTGAGAGGAAGCTGGGACAGCTGTCCGTTGGCTGGTCTTTAAGCATAAGAGTTATTACCAGTTGCCTTGCCAGGCTAGCTGCCTGGGGAGTTTGACTAGGTTGTTCCCCTGTGGAGCCAGTCTAGGAACAACTAAGTCAGCGTGGCTCCCACCTGCCCTGCCCCAGAGTACTTTTGCTCCTGCGAGGACTTACAGGACAAAGGGCTGGCCCTGGAGCACAGAGTGGACTCCTTTGGCATCGTAGGAAGAGGGCTATGCGGGTGAGTGGAGAGCTCTCCATGAAAACACGTGCCTTCCTGTAGCTTGGTTATCACATGTAAATATGTAAACATGTATGGGCTTCCCTCTGCACTCTTGGTACATACCCATACATTTAGGGGTAGACTTATACCACCATTTCCTTATCCTTCCCTCCTGGCAATGAAATCTAGTAGGCCTATTGTGCTGGTGGTGGGGGTACAATTTTAAGGTGAAAGAGACCAAGAGGTGGCACTTCCATATGGCCACGTTCAGTGGCCTCCCTCCGCACAAGCTCCTGGACTCTGTGAGCTCCGTGGTACCCAATTGCTTAGACAGTTGACTGGATTGGCATATTGTCAACCTAAATAACAAACCGAGAGACTCTCTCAAAGCCCCTCTATTCCCAAAGTTATTCTCGAATAAATATCATTTTCTTATAGAGAGCCTCCCTCTGTTATTTAGGTTGACAGTTCATGTGTTCATTCCCTTAACATAAAGATTTTCAGGCACTGGGCCAGGCATTGGTTTTCTAGCTCCTAACACTAAACTAATTTACCTCAAGTATTCAGAACAGATTTTTATGTTATGTGGGGAATTTTTAAGGATTTAGAAATTCAGATTAGTACTATTGCTACTTTTTAAACTTATAAATTCCCACTCTCTTGAGGGAAATCACAGCAATTAATTTTCCTTTTCATGTATCTAGAAAATTCTCTTCCTGTTTTAAAACAAAAATATTTCTGTGATTCAGTCAGAATCACAGCTAAGATATTTACTGAAAGAGTAAGTAGCAGCTACATACATGACAACTGAATAAATAAGGAGAGAAATCTCTTTAAATAAGATGATGTAGGTTGATTCACCTAACCAAATTATGGTTATTTCATTAACTCTCCAATCGAAATTCCAAAGCCTCATTCTATTTGCTGAGGTAAATTTGTTTAACACGAAGCTCTGACGCCCTTTAAAATAATTACGCTTCTAAATGAAAGTTTAATTTTTAATCATTTGCTTTGCTAAAATAGAACAAATGAGAGGATAATATGACAATTTAAAGGATTTGCAGTAGATCCCCTAGAGCTGGAGGAGACATGAATTTTTTCTGAGTACTGCTGACTAGTATAGGAATTTTAAGTATGATAATAGAACTGCTTCCTCACAATGTTTGCTTCTTTGATGAAAATAAAACCAGAGGGAATTAGAAGCCAACAGAGGTAAGGCAGGTCAATGCTACCTGATCAATCACAGACCTTAATGGGGACTGTGATCTTTTCTCCACCGTAACAGGTCCTCTAGTGAATTTCTGGACTTGAGATTCAGGGCACTGCAATGCATTATAAAAATGAGCCAATTCTCAGTGAAACAGAATTAAAACAACTTTCCTCTTAGAAGAGGTAGATGCTATTGTGTATTTGCAAATAATGAAATCCACACAACAGGAGGGACAGCTTAGTTCATCTCCTCTTTTGGCTAAAAGCTGTAATTTTTAGCCAAAAGAAATTAACAGAAAGTTAACATCGATATTCAGGACTTGAACTCAGATCCGGAACAAGTAGACTGAATTAACATTTATAGAACTCTCCACTTTAAATACACAAAATATACACTCTTATCAGTACTACATCACACCTATTTACAGGTTTAAATGAAATATTGGTTGGCTGCTTGTTATTTTCTTCCCTCATTTTTTTTTTAATGTCTCTATTATTAAATACAATTACAGGCATGTCCATTTTTAGACTGCATTCTGCCCCGGGCAATAAAGCAACACCCCTGTTCTCTCTCCCTCTTCCTCTTTTTTCTTTCCTTCATTCTTTTTTTTTTCTTTTTCTTTTGTTCTTTCTCTTTCTTTCTTTCTTTCTCTCTTTCTTCCTCTAGGAAAAAATAAAATAAAATTTAAAAAAAAAAGCCGTAATTTTTGTTTTGTTTGCTTTTTAAGTCACTTTCCAGAAGTTGAGTATGATATCTGCCCAGTTCAGGTTCAGAATGTGAATTCTTTCCAGAGCTATTTTTAATCAGAATTACCAAATAATGAGTGAAAAACAAAGCCCTTTATTAATAACTCTCTAGATAGTAGGATTGATTAAGGAGTCTTTAGTCTCTCTTCATGGTGACACACTCTTGCAAATAGCCACTTTTTTTTCTTTCCAGGAATTGTGAATTGGTGCAATTCTCTTTACCTTTTCACATTCCTCAATGCTTCAGGCAGCAGAGGATACAATTTTCAATATCACATGTGCTTATTTACTTAAGATAAAATGAAAACAGCATAGAAGGGAAATGTACTTGTGATTCCCTTTTGCAGGGCTGCTTCAAGCAGTGAGCTCAGAGGTTGAGGGCTCATTTTACAGTGGCCTTGACTTGTAATCTATATTTTGTTTGATTAACTGTCCCTGGTCCTTTTAAAACTGGTGAGAGTACAGTGACATTCACAGTAGTCAGAGTCTTTAGGAGTTCATATATGACTTTTCTAAAGCTTACTACCATTATTATTTATTGCACAAACAACTGTAAAACACTATTAATATAAATCAAAGTGAAAGAAAAAGTTCATCCACAGTCTTAATCAAATTGTTTTCATTTTTCAAGTTTTCTCCCAAATCTTTTTTATGAAGAGGAGAATTTTTTACACAATTGTAATTGTAACATAGGTAAGATTTTGTATTTCACTTTTAAATGTAAGGTACCATACACATTTTCAGTATTACATTATATTCTTCACAATTAAAATGCTTATATCTGTGTAATAGTTCATAAAATGGTGAGACTCTAATTTAACCATTTTTTCATTTATGAACATTTAGATTAAAAATCATAGTATATAAATGTTGCTGTGAAGTGTATTTTTATTGTATAATTCAAAAAATTCTTTTGGGTTATCTCCTTAGTATAAAGTCCTCAAAATGATGTCAAAGGGTACGAATATTTTTATTCTTTTTAGCATATTACAAAATGGTATTCTTAATGAGTTGTACTCATTTACACTGCAATTTTTGATACTATCAGTTTTATGTGTTAGCATTGGGAATTCTCATTTGAATTTTTTCTACTTGAACAGCTAGAAAGTGGGTATATTTTGATATCATTATACCATTGTCAGTAGACCAATGAATGTTATCTCTTGCTCTCTTGGGAAAGAATGTGATTGGCCCTTCTTTAGATCCTTAACTCATCATTTCATAAACTAATAATTAGGTTACAACCCAAGGAAATATTATATAGAAACCTTAGCATGATTTAATTTCTATTTCCTCCTCTTCTCACTTTCTTTTATCTGCTTTTAGTTGGGATGTTAGACGCAGAAGGGGCCCCAGCTGGGATGAAAGGGGGATATGGTGTTACTGTTCGCAGATCCTTCACCCAGTGCCTTGTCGTTCGCTATGTCTTTGCTTATGCTCTCCATTTAGCCTGGAAAACCCTTTCCTTTTGTCCGCATTTTAATGACTGTGGTAGGCAGAATTTTAAAATCAAGATTCCCACCTCTACTCCCCAGAACTCATTGATTGATAAGCTGTCACTCCCATGATTATGTTTTGTTACATGGCATAGTTGACTTTAAAATAGGCTTATCTGGGTGTACTTGATCTCACCACATGGGTTCTTTTAAAAGCCCAGAGTTTTCTTTTCTGATCGCAGAGGGGAAGTCATAGATTTGAAGCTCTTGGAGGGATTTGGCATGCCACTGCTGGCTCAAAGATGGAGGCGGCCACATGCCAAGGAGTGCGGGCAGCCATCAGGAGCTGTGAGTAGCCCCAGCTGACAGCCAGCAAGGAAATGGCGACTTCAGACCTATTGCTGCAGTCAGCCAGCAACCTCAATGAGCGTGGAAACAGATTCTTCCTTGGAGCTTTCAGGTAAGAGCTGAGCTGGCCAACATCTTGTCTTAGACCTTTTGAGACCTTACGCAGAGAACCCAGCTGAGCCCACCTGGACTTCTGACCCACACAACTGTGAAGTAAACGAGGATGTTGTTTTAAGCTGCTAAATTGGTGGCAGTTTGTTAGAGCAACAACGGAAAACAGATACAATGATATAGAAAGAGATTTGTCTTATATAATAAACATTAATTTTAGCCAGCCTGCTGGACTTGAGAGAGAGTTCACAGGTAACAACTGCTGACCGAAGCCCAGGGCAGCCTGAATGCTATGGTTGCCAGGGACTCGTACTCCTGTTCTCTCTGCTTTGGTGGGCTGAGTGGTATGCTTCCAAACCTGCTGGTGCTAATTCTATTGCTTATTATAATTATCCATTTGTATGTATTTTGGTACTATGTCAATAGGGGATGTAAGACAGTGAACATGAAGAGAGCTGATGTTTCTACCAAGAGCTGAACACTTTGGAAATACTGGATGAATAGTAATCACTGAAAAATGCCATGGAATTAGGTGGGTGAGGCAACTAAAGAGCAGAGAAGAATTGTAAAGATTTAGAAGGTTTCTGGAGTCACATTACTCTGCCAGTCTGTCTCAGTTCTTCCTCTGTGTTAAAGGCTTCAAAACTAGACTTTACACGTGGTGCATGGGGAAGATGGCTTACTGAAGCTGCAGCCCCCAGCAGTGCTGTGCCCAGAGAAAAGGTGCTGGCCTGAAAGCAGAAGAGTGGTGAATGAAGGCACAGGACTTGCATTAAATTAAAATAAGATATTTCAGGGGTTGGTTTTTATCCTATTTGAGGATTCCTTGCATTGACTGCATTTTTTTACCGATCTAGTGCATCCAATTCTATCAAATAAGAGTGCTTCTGTTACAATATTAGATATGTGTATGTACTCGCACACACACATGCATGCTGGGGTAAGCAGGCTACAGGTCTAATCATGAAATATGAACAATTTTTGTAACAAATGCATATTGCTAGAAAAAAATTGAGAATATCAGTAGTAGTTATATTTGAGTAAGAAGCTTATGTGTATTTTCTATAATGCGTATATATTGTTTTTGAAATAAGGCAACAAAAGAAAATCATCATCATCATCATCATCATCATAAAAGAATAACTGCTAGCTATATTCTTCAAGGTCAGGGTCCAAAAATTTCCTCCCTGAAGTTTTTCTCAATTCACATGAAGTTTCATAAATCACTTATTTCTTTATGCTCCCATAGCTCCTTATTTGTACTTAATTAGTTCTAATATGTAGCATGGCCAACTGTGTCTTTCCCTTTCATTTGAGAGCAGGGACCATGACTTATAAATATTCATATTTCATCACACCAAGCACAGTTCCCACCATTTAGGAGATAATTGTCAAAAGAATGAATGAATGAATTGTGCTCTGGTGTAGTGCAATCACAAATATATCAGAGAGGTGTGTGTGCGTGTTTTTATTAAGGCTCTTTCTTAGTGTCCTTTGGGAAGCAGTTTAAAAAATCATACTTTGGTCTGTGTGATCCAGATCATGTGTTTTTGCATCTTATATAATCTGAAAGCAAAGGCCATACACCTAGCCCTCAAGTAGAGCCTTTCTGGGCAAAATGAGAACAGCTTTCTGAAAAACAAACTCAGCACCGGGTGTGCAGGCACCACACAGATGTTGGTCAGGCCCTAGAAGAATCTGCATGGCAGAGTTCCCTTGGCACTTCCCTCCTGTTCTGCATCTGGACTACCTGTGAGCAAGCCTCCTCGTTGTGTAGGGGAGCATTTGTGAAGTGTTTGCAAGTATTTTTCATCTCCCGCAAGCAGACTGGGCTATGTCCTGATTTTGTTAGCGTGATTGCTGAAAATGGAGTGGTCTATTAAAAAGTAATGGTCACCGTCTGACGGATTTGCTTCTCGCAACATTAGTGTCATGGTGATGGATTAGGAGAATCTCCAAAGTGGAAAGGCATGTTTCCACAAATATTTTGTATAAACATAAATTCACTTGCAAACATGACTCATTTCCCTTTTATTTTTTTAATGTGTTATCCGTAATATTTGCCATGCATCTTTTAGCACACATGTGGCCCTCTCTGGAAGGCTCTAGTAAGTGATTCTAGCAGGGCCAGAGGAAGATTGGTGTTGTCCTGTGCCAATGTTTACAAAGTTTTCCCTCTGTTTCTGAGCTGCTTGCAGGAGGCGAGGAGAAGGTAAGAACCACAAGGCAGGACCAAGCAACCTCTCTGGGCTAGGAAAGCTCTGAGAGGAATCTCTTTTGACTAGAAAGGTGAATCTGTTTAGTGATTTGAAAACTTCCTACCTTCATTTCATCTTTCACTGAAAAATTAAATGACTGCTTTTTATGCTGCCTTTCGACATCTAGAAGAGCCAAATCAAGAAATGCATAATTTCTCCCGCTAAAGCTGGATTCAACAGCCTACATAGCTGAACTGTGATATGTTCCAGGGATTGGGACTAAAAACACTCTTTCCATTAAGGTCCTTCCATTAAGGATTTTAGAAAAATGCATCTAATTGAAGACAAAACTTTCCTGTACAAGAGAGGAAATATATTAGGAAGCTTGCCCAATAGGCCAACAAACTCAATGGACCCAGAGACCTGAGAGACTGGGATATGATTGGGGAAGGACCAGAGCTAGTAAAAAGCATTAGGGACCCAGGCATTCTAATAGACAGGGGACACACACACTCATGGCCCCTTTTCTGTATTTCTGACTTCACTTAGCTCTGCCTCTACAGATGCCCATTTATCTATTGGCTTTGCTGCCCAGGATTCATTCCCCTTTCTGCTGGTAGCTGCTTTTGATTTTCCTTGGAGAAGGCTTTGTTCACGACTCTTAGATTTAGGTTTGGAGGAAGTTGACTTTGCCTCTGACCTCAGGAGTGGGTATGTGGCCCAAACCTGTCAAGGAAAGCCTCAGCCTTTCTAGACCCCACTGACCAGTATAGAAATGGGTCAGCAGCTGACCCAGTTGGCGGATGCTCAATTCTTGCATGTTGGATGATTTCAGAAATTTTCCTTCTGTACATGAAGGATTTTTTTGGTTCTATCTTATAAAAATCTCCCTAGCAACATTCCTTCCATTAGGCTTAATATTTGTCTCTTTTATTATTGTTGTTCAATGTCAGAGAATTTGCGATGCAGTTGAATTAACATACCCACAATATTGTGGCAGCCTAGGGGGTTAAAGATAGTTAACCAGCTGGGAAAATAATTCATTTTCTAGCATAATACTCAGAGAAATGTGAAGGTGGGGTGCTTTTGGTTGAGCATTCTAAGATAAATGAAGCTTCTAAGAAATGAGACTTGCAAACTGGAGTCCAATGGATTGCTTCAACCAGATCTGGTTAGCAGTAAATGTCATTAGCTTAAAATGTTTTCTCTTACCTCTGTTGTCTGTGATAAGATGAGCCTTCTAAAAGGGGAAGTGCGGTTCTTTCACGTTTTAACTCCTGGGGGTGTTAAAGCTAGCTGAAGTCAGGCTTCCTGCAAACTACATTAAGCATGTGTTCCTCCAGGGCAGAAGGGAAATTGTGACGTCTCTTCCGGGTTGAGAGGCTCCAAAAGCAAGGAAGCTTTCTAAAATTCGGGCCTTTTCTCTTTTCTTTTTCTTTCCTTTCTTTCAATGGGGTTTCCCTCTGTCACCCAGGCTAGAGTGCAGTGATATAATCTTAGCTCACTGCAGCCAAACTCCCGAGTTTAAGTGATTCTCTCTTCTTAGCCTCCAGAGGAGCTGAGATTACAGGCATGAGCCAGTGCACCCAGCTCTTAAAATATGCTAGTTTTAGGGAATTTTTCTAATATTCCTATTTGCCCCACCCTTCCACACTATAGTATTTGTAAGGGTTATTGCCGAGTTTAAAATGAGGAAACTGAGACCAGCATAAGAAAATTAAATGCCAATTTATTTAGCTCTCGCAGAGGTTCCACGGTCCCCGGGGAAGGGGCCAGGGAAGTCGCGCTTGACTCTTCTGGGCGTGGGGTTTTATAGGGAGTGAAGGCGTTTTGATTGGTTGTGGGGAAACCAGATGTGGTTGGGGCAAGCTGCTATTGGTAGGTAGGGGGGATTTCCAGTGAGTGGCTGCCCAGTGGGAGTGGGACCTGGACTGGGCAAAAGGCTATTGGGCAGGTTTTTGCGGGGCTTCTTTTAAATTTTGGCGGGGTTTTCCAAGGGCGGGCTAGGTGCCGGGTGCAGGGCTTTATGTAGGGCGCGGAGAGGGATGGGCGTGTCCAAGCTCCCGGTGAGGCAACCGGCCTTACAGTATTGATGTTCAAGATGAAGATTTGCAAGATTTTGATGTTAAAAAATGATTTTAACATCTGATTTTCTCTTTTGAGACAATTGTTTTTACAATGAGTTCTTTGGTGGTGGTGTCAAATTATTCTTTAAGTTTCCAGGAAACACTTTATGAAACAGTTAACCAAGTACAAGTCAATAATATTAAAAAAGAAATGAAGAAGAAGAAAGAAAAAAGTAGTGGTAATGATGGAAACTATTCCAGATTTTTAAAAGACTAGATTTTAGAAATGAAATGATCAGTCAGACTTTATATGGATCCTAGGTCAAACAAATAACTCTAAAATACATTTTGGAGATATATGGGGGAAATTTGAATATGGTCTACGAATTAGATGATACTAAGAAATTATTGTTAATTTTGTTAGGTGTAAAAATGGTTTTGTGGTTATAAGATATCCTTATATTTTAGAAATCCTTACTAAAGTATTTAGGAAGAAATGTTATAATCTATATGTTTTTTAAAAGACTAAACAAATATTGCAAAATGTAAGTCTACATGATGGTTATACAGGGTTAAATAGACAATCCTCTATTTTTATACACATTTAAAGATTTTATAATACAAAGACTTTTTGAAAAGGACATATAAATTGCCAGTGGATTCCTTTACTACTTCTGTTTTTCTTTTTGTTTTTGTTTTTTATTTTTTTAGAGGCAGAGCTTTGCCATGTTGTCTAGGCTGAACTTGAACTTGTTGTCCTGGGCTCAAGAAATCCTCCTGCTTTAGCCACTGAAGTAACTGGCACTATAGGTGTGCACCACCTCCCCAGCTTCTACATCTATTTTAAGGAACCAATGTGGGCACCATCTCTGATGGAAACTGTGGAATAAAACTCCAAATATAAGTTAGGTAGATTTAAATGAACTTTAAAAGATATTATCTGCTACTAGAATATAAAATTTTGCAGCATTTATAAGTAAAAAGTTCATGAAGCTTCTTAATTCATTTATCCCCACCTATGTTCTGTGGGTGGGCATAAAAAATAATAAAAGCATTGCCTATTGAAGGAATAAAATTTTGACTCATAAATTGAACTTCATGAAAATTATTAAAAGTACTTCTAGATGTAATAGGTTCCCCAGAAATAGTTCTTATTTGCATGATAGCATTTTCAATAAATGAGCAGAAGGTAATATGTCCATTGCAAAAATACATATATATACAGGTTATCCAACCGGGCGTGGTGGCTCACACCTATAATCCCAGCACTTTGGGAGGCTGAGGCAGGAGGGTCATCAGGTCAAGAGATCCAGACCATTTTGGCCAACATGGTGAAACCCTGTCTATACTAAAAATACTAAAATTAGCTGGGCGTGGTGGCACACACCTATAGTCCCAGCTACTCAGGAGGCTGAGGCAGGAGAATCGCTTGAACCCGGGAGGCAGAAGTTGCAGTGAGCTGAGATGGCATCACTGCTCACCAGCCTGTTGACAGAGGGAGAGTCATCTCAACAAACAAACAAACAAACAAAACATAATCCATAGAAGAAAAAAACTCCCATAATTCCACCCCATTATTAATATGTTTGTATGATTCTATCCAGTACTTTCTTTGAGCATAGGTATATATCTGTCTTTTTCCTCTTTTCTCCCTTCTTCCTCTGTTCCCTTTTTTCACACCACCATTAAATGTGAAAACAAACCAGAAATAGAAAACAGTGACTACACCTAAAAGTGAAATCCATTTGTGATGAAAGCACTCCACTCCCAGAGTAAAGCAGTCTTTATTTTGGTAATTTATGTTTTCTTTTAACAGTCCTATGACTTTCATTTTTATTATTTTTATTTATGATT